AATGCACATTGCTGAAGAAATTTTAGATCATACATGCAAAGAAGAAGATAATGCTCTTAACATTTTGGTGTGCACTCATAATCTTTTTTCAGAGTGCATACAGGCACCTTTCTAAAAATGTGAGCTGATCAAACTGCACATACTGTTATGTAACTTGCCTTCATCTCCATTTATCTGGAACATCTTTTTATGTCATCAAATACTCCTCCATGCCTCCTTGGCATTTTTTATTGTATGGCTGTACCACGGTTATTACTTCAGAAAATTACTATTTTAACAATATTGTGATAAGCATCTTAGCTAAATTTTTACACCCATTCATGGCAGTGTTCTTTGAGCTAATGTTCTAGAAGTGAAATTTCTGGGTCAAAAGGTGTGGGTTAAGCTTTGATAACCATGAAGACCCTTTGAGAAATATGCTCTTCCAGTGTACATGAGTATGACTGGGATTCCTGATTCCTACCACACTGAGTACATTTTACAGGAGTTGTACAGGTGGAAGATACCATTGAGTTATTTTAATTTGCATTTCGATTACCACTGAGGTTGAACATTTCCTTATATGCTATTTATTTGATCATATTTCTTCCTTTATGTGTCTTATGTTTTGGCTCTTTGCCCATTTTCTATTAATCATTTCACCTTATTACTTGTATTAATTTGTAATGATTCTTAATAAATTGGCTAAGTTAACTCCCTATCATATGTTATAAATACTACTTCAGTTTGTCTTTTGTCCCTGGGACTAGTTTTGAATGTCCTTTTGTTTATTTTTTGAGACAGGATCTCCCTATGTAGCCCAGGCTAGTCAGGAACTCATGATTCTCCTGCTTCAGCCTCCCAAGTGCTGGAACTACAGGTGTGCACCACCCCACCCAGCTCAGAATATCTTTTGATGGAAAGAAATTTTGAGGTTTTACATAGTTAAACATTCTCTTTGTTTACAATTTCTGCCACTGGAAATTACTAAGGCCTTCCTTGACTTCAAGATCATTTAATGCTTACTTGTATTTTCTTCATGTCACCAGTTTTTAAACTGTGCTATGGATATTCAAAGTCTGCCACCAGGAGGACTTGTCCCATTGCCTTCAGAAAAATGACAGTCGGGGCTTATTAATAAAGATTGGGCATTTGGTGAAACCATTGAGGGTATCCTGGAAAGGGATAGAAAGAGATCTTTTGTTTTTATTATTCACTGTTTCCTTACACTGCATCCAGATCCAGTAGCTTTGTTAAGTAAAAAAGTCTGAAAAAAAAAAAAAAAAAGGGCAGAAACTAAGTTTCAGTTTTAACTTTCAGTTGACTATGGAGATATTGATCCGAGTGTAAACATGAAACTGTCTCAGACCTGGCATGGTGGGATTGGGTGCTGAACACCAGAAAACATTTAGAGAAAAATTCTGGTGAGCAGATTAAAAAGCAAATAATGGTATCTACCCACCAAGAGAGATGAGAGGCAGCACTCCACTCTATTGGATCCTACAGCCTGTGTCCAGAACAGTGGAAGCCAGATCTGGCCTTCATGAAAACAATGACCACAATGAGGAGGATGAAGGATCATAATCCCAAGTTTCCAAGGGAAAGGCATTCTTTCAAAAGCAGGCCACCAGCCCTGCACGTGTGGCTTTGCGGACCCCCGTGGTGGCATGCAGTCAGTGTCCATCATGTGACCCTGCTTGCTTCAAGAGGATCCCATTTTGCCCTCCACTTTTTGCTATGATTTTCTTTTCTTAAATAACACATTAAATTCAGCATGATAGCATACAGAGAACATAGGTACATACCTGAAACATGAATCCTTTTTGCTAGCATAAATTTATAAAATGCTACACATAACATATATTTATATATATCAGTAAGAAAATGATCTGGAAAGTAGAAAGGATGAAGACTTTCTACAAAATTCAAAAGTTAAATCCCAATTATTAAGTCTTTGGTCAACATAAAGATTTGAAAGTAAGCTCTTGCAAAACGAGTTGAAGAACACATGAAGGTTGGAAAGTTGGTTTTCAGGTCTATATAAGGGGTGGGGAGAATGAATGCCCTGGGAAAATATGTACCCCACAATTTCAGTTTTTTGTTTGTTTGATGGTACTAGGGAGTGAGTGAACTGAGTACATTTTCTTTAATACATAAGGCTGTACAGCATTAAAACCTGCTTAGAATATTAGAAAGGTGAATAAGCATGAAGGTGTCTACTCTGGATAAACCTTATGATTTGGGTTTCCAACTGACATCTTCCCTGCACACTGGCCTTGGGAAATGGCAGCAGACTCACCTGAGCCTTGTGCCCAGGAAGCCCTTTCCCTTTGCTACCAGTGCTAACGCACTGATGTGCTAGCCAAAGGTCTTCCTAGTGTCTCTTCAGATTGTAAGGCAGAGAGGAGCTCACGAATATGAGAAATGAGGTACCACCTGGTAAATAGCAGTCCACTGGTTATCAGGTTAATCTTGTGATTAAATTAGTGAGACAAACTGCCAGGCCCTTTGTGCCATGGGGGCCATTCCCATGTTTTCTAGAGACAGGTCAATGCCTGTGACCACACCACACTATGTGTCACAGAAATAACAAGGACCTTAGAGCACTGTGGTGATCCTCCATTCTGACACCTGCCTAGTTGAAATGTCCCATGAGCTAGCTGGGGTTCAGGAAGGAAAGAGAGTATTTCAGATTGTGACCAACAAATGTCTCCAACTTTCTAGGAACAAGTCTACTTGGAACACCAGTCACACCCACATTAGTATTTCCAATGCTCTAGCTTACATACCTCATTGATGAGATGGTTCCCTAGTTTTATTTGTGCTGAGAAGAGCTGTTTCCTCCCTAGAGAGTGAGCTATTCTTTGTCTTATGCCAAGAAAGTTGCAAGAAAAATGCTGACCTATGGAGTGACACATCAAGCTTAATCACTGCTTTCAATTAAAATAATACAAAATAAAACACTCACTGAGCCATTCAGGCAGAACATAATTTCCCAAGCGCAGACACACCTACTGAAACACTTGAAATTTTTGGGGAATCTGGTTCCTGGGTGTGGAGTTGCCCTAGAGAAACTCAGGGCAGGGCTGACATAGCAAACTGCACATGCTGATCAGAGATTTCCCAAGAGTCTTCTTAGACTCCAAGAGCCAAGCTCGAAATAACAGAAGCCAAGGTTTGCAACATACACCTCCTCCCCTGTTGTTAATTGTGACTGTGGAGCAGAACAGCTGTCTACCTCCCAGAATTCCCAGAGCTGACTTCTCAGACTGTTTAGAAGTAAGTATTTAAGCCAGGGTAAAGAAGAGGCTGGGGGGCCACTCAGCACAGGCTTCCTTTTCTTTGGTTTGACTCAGTCAAATGAAAACCTCTCAAACACAATTTTTTTTTTCTTTCTGGTCTCTTTAGATAGGTCAAAGCAGCACAGCCTGCCATAAATCTTCAACCTAGGGAAAGAGGACCACACAAAAGCCCTATCCAGCATCCTGCAAACATTGAAAGGGACCTTGTCCTTCCTGCCCTTGAGAAGGCTGAACAAATGGCCTGAGAAAAACCACCAGAAGAAGGGATCCTTAGTAAGGGATCTTAACCAGTTAAATGGGTTTTCTGAAGTCTAGGGATCTGTAATATCCCTTCAAGACTAAAGCACTCAAGGGTGCTGTCCAACTCTAGCACCTCATATACATCTGCTTTTGCAGGTCTCTGGATGTTCTCTCCTCTGAAACACTGCTCACAGAAATCACACAACTCTCTGACTTCTGCAATGCTTACAGTAGGAAACACAACCTCCATTCCATGGGAAGATGACTGTGTCCACGCATCCTTCAGTGGCTCACGGCGTCTGGCCCTTCCCTCCATCTCTGAGATCAGACCTGGCCATCAACCACTTTCTGCAGTACCTCTCAACTAGAGGGTGATTTTGCCAAGGGACACTGGGTGATATCAGGAGACATTTTGGGTTGACATTACTGTATACTACTAAAAATCCCACAATGATACAGAAGACAGTCTCTCACTACAAAGGATTACCTGGTACAAATGTCCTGTGTCACAGTTGAGAAATCCTGCTCCAGCCACACTAAACTCTTTGCCAGACTTTCTCATACGCTTTTTGTGCCTAAACACAGGCTGCTTCCCTTACCTGGAGGGCCTTGACCCACTTTCTGGGCATTACCATTTACCTTCTAGGATCTAACTCAAAATGTCACCTCTTCTACATTGTCTTTCCTTGAGTTTCCCAGAGTTGGATGTTTTTTATTTCTAGATATGGTTCATATCTCATTAGAACACTAGCCATACTGACCTAAAATAGTCTGCCACCTGCTAAAACCTTGACTCCAGTCTTACTGAACATTTATTCCCAGAGTACCCAACAGGTAATCAGTTACTGCTCACCAAAACCATCAGAGAATGAGTAAAACCCTTCCATTAATTGCAGCTGTGCCTTAGACTTTCTTGCAACTATATCTAAGGGACAATGGTGTCCCAGCATCAAAAACAACAGCAGCAAATATCTACCAAGTGCTTATAATATGAATAGACACTGCACTGACATATTTCATCCTTAGACAACCCTGAGCAGGTACCACAATTGTTAACATTTAATAGATAAAGAAATGGACGCACCAAGAACTTAACCCACCTTGCCTACTGTCATTGAAGCTAACATTTGGCAGAGCTGATAATTAATTTCAGGAAGGCTGGCTCCAGAGCCTTAATCTTTCAATAGTCGTGCCAAGGCAGTTATATCAACACTATAACTCAAAAGACCACTTAACGACCTCTGAAAAATACAACCGATATATCCAGAGGACTATACAATCATGGAGTGGCCACCAGAAGCACTGCTCCCAACCTGTGGCCCTCCCTGAAACACTGCTCACAGGGATCACACAACTCTCCAACCTCTGGAGTACTTTCAACAGGAAAAACGACCTCCTCAACCATGGGAAGACATATGTACTCAGGAAAATCATAGTACCATCAGAAAAATACATATGCTGATTCAAAGAACCTCTTACCTTGTTCATGCCGCAGGGATTGGAGCAAGGGATCAGACATGTCACAATGCGAGGCAGCTCTTGAAGATTCTCCTTGTTCCAGGAGCCCTCACTTCCTGAAGCAGATAGCTGCACTGTAAACACAAACAAGAAACCCATCAGCCAGTTCTCAGGAAGGCTCAGAGCAGTCCTATGTCCAGTGGAACTTTCTGTGATGACTGCAAAGCTCAATGTCTATGTTGTCCACAATGGTGGCCACACATGGCTATTGAGTCACTACTGGAAAGCAGGGGAAAGTGTTGAAGTGTGGTGCACAGTTTTGCTGCTCACATACTAGTTTCTTTGACCTTCAAAGGAGGTCAAAGATCAAATAAGAAAATAGCTTATGCAACTGAGGGCTAAATTTTCAACTGCATGTAAATAGCCATTGTGGCTGAGGGCCAGTCACCATGTGGGATGCTACAGGTCTAGATATCAAATCAAGAGTCTTGAGGCAGGCTACTGGGCATGCCAGTGGCCAAGAAAAAGCTAGTTGTTGTATGTTTGGAGTGGCTGTAGATCCACAGGGACAAGACTCAGTAACTATTTTTTTGAGCACTTACACAGGGCTGGGTACTGAGGATTTATAGTGATGAACACACCAGAAAGGCCAGTGACTTAGGAATTTCTAGTTCAGGCTTTGACCTCCTCAAGAAGGGCAAGAAAGTGGCATGTGAGCAGCACTACTGTGTGCCATTGAGGTCTATGTTATGGTTCTAGGATTGGTTTTTTGGTGGTTGTTGTTTGTTTGTTTGGCTGTAATGGAGGATTGAACTCATACTTCCTACGCAGGTGCCTTACCACTTGAGCTGTGTCCCCAGCCCCTTTTGCTAAATGTATTTTCAAATAGTGTCCTGCTTTATGCCTGCTGGCTTGGAATGTGACCCTCCTATTTGTGTGCACCACTGCACATAGCTGGGATGACAGGTGAGCACCACTGTGCCTTGTCACTGGTTGAGATGGGGGGTCTCGCAAACTTTTTGCCTAGGCTAGCCTTGAACCACAGTCCTCCTAATCTCCACCTTCCAAGTAGCTGAGGCTACAGGCTTGAACATTGTGCCTGACTAAGTGTTCTTAACTTGTCAAAAATTAAAGAAAACCAAAAAGAAAGTGTCTCCAATGACTTAAATAGATGTTTAGCCTTTTCCTTTGAAAAGTGGTTATGGGGAGATCTGAGAGGAGAGCTAACATTGTAAAGTTCCTTACGATCGCCTGATTTGTGTATTATTTCTTCAAGTTACATCTATACCTGAACCTTCCCATGGAAAATGGAATTGCAAGTTTAACTGGAAATGCAATGCTTTAAAATTTTTTTAAATGCATGATTTTAAATTATAATGACAATCCAAAATATGCCCAAAATGGAAAGGAAGAAGCACTGAGAGTCCCCACAGCCCATCACAACCACCTTTAGCTCTCAGCAATCCCACCAGCCTCTGTTTATTGCAAATGACATGTCTGCTAACCTACTTATAGGTCACGGGGAAGTGGAAGGCTGTATTCCCCATATTAACACTTTTCACTGCTAAGAAAATGATTTTGCAATTATATTTTCAAAAGATGAATTCCTACTTCACATATGTGAATAATATGTGATCATAATATAGTTTTTCTTTTTATCAATCAAAAAATAGGGAGAGGTTAATGAAAATCACTGCAGACACAAATTCCAAGGAAAAATGACACATTCAGGCACACCAATAACATTTTTTCTTTGAGGCAGTACTAGGACTTGAACTCAGGGCCTCACACTTGCTAGGCAGGTGCTCTCCCACGTGAGCCATGCCACCAGCCCAGCAATAGCATTTTATCAATGGTGTACAAAAGGAGAGAGCTGGAAATTCTGACTCTGTAGTGTGAATACATCAAATGTCTCCACGTGCTCTCTATACCAGGGCAACTATGGCTTCAAAGTCACAAAAATTCATGATTTAATTTGAACCAATATAAGTGACTGAAAAAAATTATGCTGGTAACTTAGTTTTTGAATTTCTAGAAGCAGAAGCTAATGCATTTCTGAGTTTAAAAGCACAACTGTATACACATGGTTTCTTTATTGATACATGTATCGATCCATTTAGAAAAGGCAGCCTAGCACTTAACTAGAGACTTCTACCATCCCATTTCCAGGCCAACACTGACACTGGTGCCAGCTCAAGAAGGCGGGCACAAGGAGAAAATAACAAGCAGACAAGGATTCTCGAACACAATTGCCCCCAGTAACCCCACCCAGCTCCAACCGTGTCACAGTCCCTGTTCCCTTAGAACTTGGACACGCAGTTTACACTACACTAATTATGGGTCCTGCCCTGTCTCCTACTCCATGTGTTCTTATGTCATTTTCATGTATGTTATCTATAACCAGGCTAGAATAAAACCTATTTGAGAGAAATACTACTCACATAGAAAGTTTTTAATAAATGCTATGAATAGATTTTTTTCTTTACTTTCAGAGCATAGGATGATACAGACTCTTAATGTAGGATCTTAAAAATGACGTTGATAATTGCTACAGACTGTCAGACTGTCTTTGGTGTTTTTGTAAGAAAGGAAAATCTTTTAATGCCTGTGTTTTAAGTCATTTTGAAATATTATTACAAGTATCATACAGCTGTATAGTACTAAAACTTATATTAAAGCTCTTTTAAAGCTTTAATATAAAGCTTTATTTATATTAAATATTTACATTAAATAAGGTGTGACGGTTCATGCCTATAATCTCAGCTACTAGAAGGTAAAGATCAGGAGGATGGCAGTTGCAGGTCAGCCTGGTCAAAAAAGTTAACAAGATTCCATTTCAACTGACAAGCCAAACATGGTGGCTCACACCTGTAATCTCAGCTATGTGGGAGGCATAAGTAGGAGGGTCACTGTCTGAGGCCAGCACCAGACAAGGACACAAGGACCCTATTAGAAAAATAACTACAGCAAAAAAATGGTTGAATTGTAGCTCAAGTGGTAGAGCCCTTGCAGAGCAAATGCAAGGCCCTGAGCTCAAACTCCAGTACTGATTAAAACAACAACAAAAACCACAAGCAAACTCAAAACCTTTTATGTTAATGTTCTTGCTTAGTATAGAGGTCAACATGAGTGGTACTTTTCCTAACTGGATATGGGAGGTAAGAAAGTGCTTGGTCAACACTGTAATAAGCAGTAGACCCTGCACTGGAAGTGACTTCCAAGATACTATGAAAGTAAAGCATGTACAAAGACCACAAATGAAAAGTAAACCCAAGCCAACCCTCCTCCAACCACACACACCCACAGCCACACCCACACCCACCCACACACACACACATCAAAGACCACCATAAGCAGAAAGCATCCTGGAGAACAGGCTGACAGGTTTTTTTTTTAATAAATTTTTACTAGGATATATTCATTATACAGGGGGCAATTCATAGCAACAATTCCAAATAGACTTATATTGTATATTATTTACATTGCCCTCATAGTCTCTCCCCCTGAACCCTGTCCCCACCCCACTTAGGTTGACAGTTTTGGAAACTGGGTCAGCTCACTTCTGGACAGCAACCTGAAAGCCTGGCCTTGTTCTATCTAGTATTTTCCATCTCCTTTGAAACACAGAACCTGCAAACCTGCCTGTCTTGTAGCCGATGCAGCTTACGAAGACGCACAGAGAAATCCACAGCTTAAAACACAGACGACATCTGAAATAGAAATGATTAAGGAAAAAGATACTTGAGTTACCATGGTAGACTTAAGGGTGTTTTCTTTTGATTAAATTTTTCAGGGTTTCTTTCTCATCTTTTAAGAAGTGGAAGTCTTTCTGTACTGAGCAAAAAAAGAAAGCACAGAGAAAGCCAAGTCCACAAGTCCTATACTCAGCTGGTTCCAAGAGTCGGTTCAGTGGGCAGTGAGGTCTGTGGTCACACGGTAGGCTTGTAGAAGCTAACGAAGTGTGATTCATCTTCTGAGGTGAGTAGAAGTGTGGGTAAACAGGCAGGTGAAGGCAGGAGAATTATAAGAAGACAACAGAGGGCTGGGAGGTAGGCTGGTGGTAGAGCATCTGCTTAGAATGCATGAGGCCCTGAGTTCGATCCTCAGCACCAAAAAAAATAAATTAAATAAAAGGAAAGAAATGAAAGGAAGGGAAAGGTGAAAGTTACAAAAATAGGAGATAAGTAGAGGTCAGGTGAGCAAACCAAGACATCAGAGACAGTTTTGGTGGCATGGCCAAGCATCCCTCACCAACCAGGTCCTCACTATGATAGGCACTGGGAAATGCAGGCTCCTGGTGACAATTCCACATCCTATAGTACCTCTAGGGTTCTACACTCTCAGAACTTGGGCTTCAGTAGGTAGGAGTTGGAGAGAAGGGAAAACTGGGCCTACCTGTTTCACCACTACTTATCACCTGCCTCCACCACCCACAGAGAGAGGCTATCATATCCAGATCCCTGCAAGGGTGGCTGGCACAATAGTGGGTGCAGCACGAGTCCATTCCTCCTACCATCCCTACTCCATGAGGAGCTTAGAAGTCTGGAGGGCTGTTTCTCTGTGTGCAGGGTTTGGCCCTGGAAAAATGGTGCTAATATATACTGCCAAGGGAGAATGGGATATGCTAACCTGGGCTTTCTCTCCACTCCACTACCACTCCCTTCTGAGATGTTTATTCTAGAAACCTTGTGTGATAGATCCCAAAGCTGGGTAGCTCAGGCACTCCACTATGATACAGGCCACAGAGAGCACACAGGTCCCTCTTCACACTGCTAAGTGCCTCACTGGCTTTTAGATACAATGTCCCTTAGGCCAGTCTGTGCATGGACTCTTGTCCTTCTCTTCCCTCCACCATATCTGGCAGTATAAACAGAGGACTGGAGGGTGAGGACTGAGGCCAGACCCAAGGGCTTAGCTTGCAGGGAAGGAAAAAGTGAAGTGATAAAAAGGGCAGCATTTGGAGAGAAAGGGCAGAGGAGAGTCTGGAGGAAATGCTTAAAATTGAGGACTCAGCAGCTTGGGTAGTCAGATGGACAGGTGAGAAGAGCACCCCAATTCTTCTAGCCCGTTTGTAGGGTCTGCATGTCTCCAAAGTTAAGTCCCGACAACCTTCGATGGAATCCTTGTCTAAGAC